GAGAGAACGTGTGTGAGTGTGTGTGTGTGTGTGTGTGTGTGTGTGTGTAAAAGATAGAGACGGGAGCATCTGTTATAGAAAAAGTGCAAGTCACCCCTTGTCTATTCTAAGCAGAAAGCCACTAAAACTTGACATCCAAGTTGCAAGATTACAATTGTTTTCTTATTTTTTGGCAGGGGGCAGGAACTAAGGTTCTGATGTGATATGAGGTTATATGCTGGAGATTATCAACACAAATTCATAAGAAAAAATACTAATTTGTTGAATTATAAAATCTATTAATAAATCCGTATCATGTAATTAATGAAGGGTCAAGTATTTTAAATAAGATCATCTATTTTCAATTGACAGTATCTTTCTATCTTCTTTTGCAGATATCATTTATTTCCACCATTTTAACAACTCTGATTCTCGGAATTGTAATGGCAAGGGCAGCTTCCTTGGGTCCACACATGTAAGTTTTATTTTTGCGTTTGTTGGTCTTCAATATAAACCTTCACGAAGACACTTAGATAGCATTATAAACGCAGGGATATAAAGTAATTGTATCAGATCCATCATTGTTCCTTAGCACTTGACAAAATGAAGTGAAATAATTGTAGCTTTGAAGACTTGAACTTTGCAGATGGACCTTGTTTATTTGATAAGATTAAAACCAAGTTTACTTATTATTTTAGTGGCCAGCCCTGAGAATTAGGATAAAGCAGAGAGGTCTTGAAAATTGAGAAATGGGGAAAAAAAGAAAAAGAAAATTGAGAAATGGGTATAAAGCAGCGTGCAAGAGGGAAAGTGGTAGGAGGATGGAATTTCTATATCTCCCCTGGAAATGGGATTCTTTCGTAATAAAATGTTACTGGTTTAGGCCTAAATACATGTAAATCACACTATGGATATTATTCTCCAATAATCTAAATGCATTGTTTTTTACTATGTTTTAAGTATATTTCAATACTCTTCTAAGGCCCCTACTGGTATTGAGTCAATTCCAACTCATAAAGAGGCTCAGAGGATGTAAATCTGTCAGGAAGCAGTTAGCTCCATTGGTCTCGCACAGAGTGACTCGTGGGTTTGAATTGCCAAGCTTACCATTAGCAGTTCTAAGCTTACCCAACAGTGTCACCAAGGGTCTCTTCTAAGATTCACCTCATTGCCATCAGTTCATCACAACTCATAGTGGCTCTGGAGGACATAGACTGTGTGGGTTTTGAGACTGTAACTCTTTACAAGAGTAGGAAGCCTCATTTTTCTTCTGAGGAGTGACTGGTGGTTTTGAACTGCTGACCTTGCAGTTGGCACCCCATCACATAACCCACTAGGCCACCAAGGCTCCCCCTTCTAAGAGTATATTCTTTAATTATTTGTGTTAAAACATTTTCATTTGTAAATTGATAGTGATAGCTGACAGCAGTATTTGCTTGTTCTTAATACCATTATTTGGCCAAATAAAATGTTTACAATTTGTTATTGGCACTCTGTCCTTTTTTTAAAGTGTGGGCACAACTGATCAAAACTCTAGCTTTCACACATTTATTATAAATCAACCAAATAAGGACTGGACAGGCTTGAGAAAATGCTGAAATGACACTAGCTGAAAATGATTCTAAGCACACAATACATATTTTCTGAGTACATATATTAATCATGATGGAATGTTCATGGTACCTTAAATATTTTCTCTATCCTAAATAAGACAAGTCAAGTTCACTCACGACATAATTTCTGGAACAGTGCCAGCGACATGAGAGTCATCAATGAATGGTTCCTATGTGAGGAAAACTAGGCACATAGCTATACTTGATCCTGCAGTTCCCAAATTGATTGTTGTTATGCAAATTGTGTCATTGTTTGCTGTATATACTTATGCCAAACTAATTAATTTACCAGGAAAATATCCAAAATACATGTAAAGATCATTTAGAAGTAAATTTGAAATATCTAGTCTATTTGAACTTGAAATGGCCTTTCCCTTAAAAAAAACTATTTTAAAAGTATACAAATAGAGCAAAGTTAAATATCTGTCATATTCATGTTAATTTATATCCTCAACTAACTTGACCCTTTCATCCTGGCCCTTAGGGTCTTGTTATTGCATCTGGTTCCCTCTGGTGGAGACACGCGTCCTTTCTTTGAGCACAAGTTTACCGCGTGCCTGTTTTCGGCAACTTTCTGTGCCTTGGGCTGGAAAGGTTTGAGTCTGTACTGGTTTACCCAAAGCTGCAATTGTTCACAACCAAAGTAGGTAGAAGGGACTTAATTTTTTTAAAGCAAAGTAGAGTATCAAGGAGGGACAAGGACAGGGGCAGAGCCCAAGAAACCTGCACTTAATGGTCCAGATCCAAGAGCGCTTTTTGCACAAGACAAATATGATCTGGATATTATAGAAGATGTGTAGTATTTTTCCAGATAGACCCTGTGGTAAAAGGCAAGGCAGCCATGGGAAAGCTAAACACTAAAGCACAGAGACAACATATGTACAAATATGCTGGACACAATGGATGTAGGTGTGGACTGTGATAAGGGCTGTACAAGCCCCCAATAAAAGGAGTAAAAGAATTATGTAAACCAAAAAAAAAAAGCACAGAAGCATGTATTCAGTTCTATTATTAATGTTTACTTTGGTGGTACTGTTGGGTAAGCGATGGGCCACACCAGTCAGTCTGTGGAAGAGAGATAAGACTGTCTGCCCCCCTAAAAATGTACAGTTTTGGAAACCCTATATCATATTGTTATGATTAGAATTCCTTAATAGCAATGCGATTGATTTGATTTGGGAGTAGATCTCTGGTTATTAAATGCTGAATTCACAGTAGCCAAAAGCTAATTAAAGAAGGAGCCCTGATGGCATAGTGGGTTATGCCTGGGCTGCTAACAACAAGGTCACCAGCCACTCCATGGAAGAAAGACGAGGCTTTCTACTCCCATGAAGAGTTACAGAAACTCACAGGGGCAATTCTACCCTGTAGGTTACCACGAGTCATCATTAAGCGGCTGGCAGAGAGAGAGAGCAGTTAATAGGTGTCCTGAAAAGAATACAATATGTAATGAGATTTGGCAATAATTTTGATTGTATAAGACCAAACTATTTTCATTGAAGCATTTTCTAAATGAAAAATGATTCTGGGAAATAATTCATTAGTTTTAATTTTTAAAAAGCTTTATAAATATGGTTCATTTAGTGCAAATAAAGCGACACTGAAGACAAAAAAACAAATAAGCTGAAAGAGTGAGGTAGATAAATTAATCATGAGTTGTGCTCCAGTAGAAAAAAATTAAAGCACTCAAAGCAATGGTTTCCAATGCTTAGTTGACATTAGAATCACCTGGGTTACTTAAAAATAAAATCATCTATGGAGTTTCTGCCAGCATTGATCTAGGGGTCAGCTACGACCCACGTGTGCAAAAAGGTTAAAGAGCCTCTTGGTTTCAAAAAATTAAAATCATAAGTATACATTTTTAATTTACACCTTGTTTCTAATATTGGGTAATGATATGTTTCTAATATTAAACAAGGAGATATTTTTGGTTATAGTAGTTTGATTATTTTATATAATTCATTCTCCACTCATTTTGGGGGAATATCTTCAATATACAGAATGCTTTGTGAGCAATTATCATGGACACAAGAGATATAGAATATCTCTGTTAATTGGGGTTTCTAGTTTACTGGAAAAGACAAAGCTGTACAGATGCTGACCATAGAAGGCAGCATTTCTTGATACAAAGGAAAGAGGAAGAGGAGTCTCTTCCTGGTGGGTTAAAAGAATGAATTTTATAACCAGAGTCCTTTACTTCTGTTACAAACAGAACGTGGCTTGTATCTGCTCGCCCTTCCTCTCTGGTGATACGTTTTCTCTGAGACTGAAATTTTCTAATAACAGGAATTGTTTATGTAACCCTTTCAGTATTTAAATGTTAAATGGACTTAAAAAATACCGTGCCATCTTTTATCTGTTTGAATACTACTATAAACAACTTCTGTTTGTTCACATGCACGATCGCATTAATCAAATCCCATGATCATTGGTTGGCATAGTAGCTAGTCAGGCAGGCTGCTTTCTGAAAATACGACAGCCATGAATGCTTCTAATACATAACACATGAGAAATTCAATAACCCACATGTATTTTTCTTCATTTTTGTTCCAATGGATGATCAGAAAAGCTGGATTTTTCATAGAGCTTTTAAAGTGGCATTTGATAAAGAGCTCTAAACCCACTATCAGGAAAGAGGACTGTCTGTGACGGCTACTGGTATTGACCTTGTTACTATGGAAACACCTTTTATTGGTTGTGCTTTAAAAAGAAAGCACACAATTCAATTTCCTTTTCCATAACTCACAGCTCCATGAATCCTGCTTCTTGATATGACTTCAAATATCTCACGGCCCAATAACTTTCTCTTTTTGGAAATAATGTTCAGTTTTATTGTATTTTCTAACCTTTTGCTTTCTAAAAACTGAAGTGGCAAGGCAATTTAATTGCTTTGCAGAAAGTGTGCTAGTCTAAAAACGCAATAACACAGCTCTCCCCTTTTTTCTAATATCTTCCCAACTAGAATCTGATGCATTACCATTGTGAAAGCCTTCATTCTGTGCCTTATTAGTATTCAATACTTTATATTCAGAAAGGAAATAATAGCACCATACTCCAAATTTATAACAATTTTAACTTTAGCTGATATATCTTTTATTCTATTTTAGTCATTAATGTGGTATTCTAAGCACAATTCTAAAATGTGTGTATGCTTTTGAATAATATTTATGCATAGAAGTGTGTCTTCCTCAAGAATCTCAATACATATTTTTTATACTTTATCTCTTTAATCTTGAAATAATGTAATTTTTATGCTATCCATAAAAAGGAACCAAAAGGGATTAAAGACATGGTCATAAAAATTAGTAAAGCCAGAAGAATGGTGAAAGGAATGATAAATTGTATCAAATACTAGTTAATAGATTATTTGTTCAAGTGTAAGTTGTTGCACTTTTTGTTTTAAATGGCAATAGTCACAGAACCTAAACCAGCTGAACAATAACAACCACTACCCTGTTTCCCCGAAAATAAGACAGGGTCTTATGTTAATTTTTGCTCCCAAAGATGCGGTAGGTCTTATTTTCAGGGGATGTCTTATTTTTCCATGAAGAAGAATACGGTACACATTTATTGTTTATTGTTTTATTAAAAGAGACCTCGCACTTCCTGTCTGCTCCGGCTGCGCTGTGGCCAACAGTGAGCTGTGCGGCGGTGCCCTCCGCTGGTCCAGAGTCCAGAGTTATGGTAGCTTCGGGGAGCCTTATTTTCAGGGGATGCCTTATATCTCAGCGAGAGGCAAAACTGTAAGTAGGTCCTATTTTCAGGGGATGTCTTACTTTCAGGGAAACAGGGTATCGACTCATACAGTCAAGTAGTTCAAGGTCAGGTCTGTCATCAAGTACTGTGAATTTAAGAAGTCAAT